ACTGCTGAGGCACTATTGAGCCTTCAGCTCGGATCCACTGTTTCTCAACTTTCTCTTGAAAATATCCCATAGATTCCATATGGGGTTCAGGTCAGGCATGTTGGCTGGCCATTCAAGTACAGTGATATCATGGTCAGCAGAGCACTTGGAAGTGGTTTTGGCAGTGTGGGCAGGTGCTAAAGTCCTGCTGGAAAAGGAAATCAGCATCTCCATAAAGCTTGTCAGCAGATGGAAGCATAAAGTGCTCCAAAATCTCCTGGTAGGTGGCTGCATTGACTTTGGACTTGATAAAACACAGTGGACCAACACCAGCAGACGTCACGGCATACCAAATCATCACTGACTTCAGAAACTTCTCACTGGACTTCAAGCAGCTTGGATTCTGTGCCTCTCCAGTCTTTCTCCAGACTCCAGACCTTGATTTAATAATAATAATTAATAATTTATGCATTTAGCAGACGATTTTATCCAAAGCGACTTACAGTGCATTCAGGCTATACAGTTTTTACCAGTATGTGTGTTCCCTGGGAATTGAACCCACTACCTTTTGCACTGACCAATGCTCCTATGCTCTACCACTGAGCCACAGGAACACTATTGCATTTGATTTCCAAATGAAATGCAAAATTCACTTTTATCTGAAAAGAGGACTTTGGATCACTTAGCAACAGTCCAGTTCTTTTTCTTCTTAGCCCAGGTAAGATGCTTCTGACGTTGTTTCTGTTTCAGAAGTGGCTTGGTAGCTCTTTTCCTGAAGACGTCTGAGTGTGGTGACTCTTGATGCACTGACTCCAGCTTCAGTCCACTCCTTGTGAAGCTCTCCCAAGTTTTTGAATCGGCTTTGCTTGACAATATTCTCAAGCTTGCGGTCATCCCTGTTGCTTGTACACCTTTTCCTACCCAATTTCTTCCTTCCAGTCAACTTTGCATTTCATATGCTTTGATACAGCACTCTGTGAACAGCCAGCCCTTTCAGTAATGACCTTCTGTGACTTACCCTCTTTGTGGAGGGTGTAAATGATTGTCTTCTGGACCATTGTCAAGTCAGCAGTCTTCCCCATTATTGTGGTTTGAAAGAACAAGAGATACCCAGAATTTATACTGTAGGGATGGTCATTTAATGAAATTCAAATGCAAATATTCTAATATTTTGAGATACTGGATTTTTGACTTTCATGAACTGTAATCTCTAATCCTCAAAATTAAAACGAAACAAAAAAACTTTTGAAATGTTTTACTTTACATGTAATGAATCTAGAATATATGAAAGTTTAACTTTTTGAAATAAGTTAAAAAATTTAAAATAAAAAATCTAATGTTTTGAGATGTACCTGTGTGTTGAAGACGTCTGAGTGTGGTGACTCTTGATGCACTGACTCCAGCTTCAGTCCACTCCTTGTGAAGCTCTCCCAAGTTTTTGAATCAGCTTTGCTTGACAATATTCTCAAGCTTGCGGTCATCCCTGTTGCTTGTACACCTTTTCCTACCCAATTTCTTCCTTCCAGTCAACTTTGCATTTCATATGCTTTGATACAGCACTCTGTGAACAGCCAGCCCTTTCAGTAATGACCTTCTGTGACTTACCCTCTTTGTGGAGGGTGTAAATGATTGTCTTCTGGACCATTGTCAAGTCAGCAGTCTTCCCCATTATTGTGGTTTGAAAGAACAAGAGATACCCAGAATTTATACTGTAGGGATGGTCATTTAATGAAATTCAAATGCAAATATTCTAATATTTTGAGATACTGGATTTTTGACATTCATGAACTGTAATCTCTAATCCTCAAAATTAAAACAAAACAAAAAAACTTTTGAAATGTTTTACTTTACATGTAATGAATCTAGAATATATGAAAGTTTAACTTTTTGAAATAAGTTAAAAAATTTAAAATAAAAAATCTAATGTTTTGAGATGTACCTGTGTGTGTGTGTGTATATATATATATATATATATATATATATATATATATATATATATATATATATAACATAAATATATACATTTATAAACTAAAACTAAAATGTTTCGTTACTTGAAATAAAATGTTATATATATATACATATACATACTGTCTTTAAATATTACTTTATTTCAGCTATTTGCCAAGTCATCATTTCTCATTTTCATTTAAAGTATATATTTTTTTTTTTTGTCTTTGCCATTAAGGTGAAATAACATCAAGAAGGAGATGTAAAAATCACAGCCAAATGATTTATTTATAAGACTGACAATGAAAGGTCAAATACAAATACAAACCATACTGCATTGTGGGATACAGTGTTTCACAATTGATCATCTGAATATTTCATGCACACAGAACATTCGCATGCTGTGCACAGCACGCATACTGCATGCTGCAGAAATAGTATGAGTAGTATGTTATGGTATTTCAAGCAAAAGTGGGACTGAAGATTTTAACAGTTTTGATCATGATGATTTTTGTTTCCTTAGCCCTTCACATATGAAGTTACCCTGCTAAAATGATCTGCTCTCTCCTGCTCTCTTTAACTCTCATCTAGTTCATTCTGTGAAACATTGCAGCTCTTTATAGCGGGGCCTGTAAAGGTCACTGATGTGGTTCATGGTCTAATAAAACACAGCTATTATGGTCACACTTACCTCAGCTGTCAAACCGTAGATTTCTTTGGTTGTTAACAGCTCTTTTTATATGGAGGAATAGTAGTGCCCTTGTCTGACTGATCTGATGGCTCCTCTGGAACAGGAAAGCAGTTTCTGGAGAATGTGTGTCGCCTCGCGGGAGGAGGGTCTGCAAGCGGGTGATAACAAACTTCAGTCCAGCAACAATGGTGCGTCTGTTGGACAAGACTTACACAGGTAATAATCAGCTCATTTTGACTGCTTTATATGTTGTCCAAACACAGGGTTCAACAATAAGGATCTTTCACTGAAGCAATTTTTACTATTTCACTGAAGCAATTTTTATAGTTGATACACTGTAAAAAAAAAAAAAAAAGATAACGAGAATTCATATTTCAGTTTTTATTTCATCTTTAATTCAACGTGTTACTTGCAGTTTATGTGCAATTATTTATGAGTGAAAATTGTTTCAAAGTAAATCCTTAAAGAAAAATTTACGAATGATAACTTTTATTATTAAATGTTAAATAATGGTTCATGATGTAATCGAAGCTTATGAAGCAATCTCCTCAGTATATAGAGGAACTCTCTAAATTACATAAAAATAATAAATAATACATTTATATTTATTAATAAAATTTTATATTTAAATGTGATTAAAATGTTAATTAAATCAATAATAAAATAATACGAATAAGAATAATACATGAAGTATATTGAGGAACTAAAATAAAATTAACAAAATAAAATTATTTAAATTAAATGAAAGTAATTGAAAGTATTTTTTATTAACTGTAATTAATTAAAACAAATTAAAATGTTTATTAATTTAATAATAATAACAATGCTAATTACACATGAACTGTATGGTGTAACTAAATACAATTCTTTACATTAAATAATAATAATAATAATAATAATAATAATAATAATAATAATAATAATAATAAATGAGGTGTATGATGTAACTAAATAAAATCATATACATGAAAAAAATATTATAATAATACTATTATAAATACAATTTATTTAATTAAAAATAATAAAATGTTAATAAACTCTTATAATAATACTATTAAAAATGATAATAATAATAATGCATATTATTATTATTTGTAGTAGTAAAATATTAATAATAATAAAAAAAACTATATGTATCACTTATATAATTTATATAAGTGCTCACACTGACCCTTGTCCATCTGTCTATCCTTACTGTTGAACCCTCTAACAAATGTCCTATTCACATGTTCCCATGAAAAATGCATGTGTGTAAACATACACCACACATACACACAGCTCTCAGCATATTACAGCGTAAACATAAGTGCCATAATGCACATATTCTGTTGTTTTCTGTCTCTAGGGACACTTACATCTACTTTGGAGACAGACTTGCCCCATTTAACGGACAGATTATAAATGATCAAACAAAACCGGAGGCTGATCCAGAGAAAAGGCCCGTGCTGAAGACTGAAGTAAGACTTTATCAGCTGTTTGTCCATTACAAACATCAAAACATTCATCTGATCTGATCTGAGGCCAGTTCTGTGGGTTGGGATAGATCAACGTCTTTTTTAAGCATTCTGAAAATGTCAGACGACCGACCGAGATCCCAAATAACTCCTACACTCCCACAAACTCAGCTATGCTTCTGAGAGTAGGTGGACATTGCCCTGCAAAAATTAGGAGGTTATTTCTCTGAAACAAACCATCTATTGTTCTTGTTTAATTTGAAAAATCCAACAAAATGAGCGTGCTGTTTAGTTGAGAATGGTTTCAATTAGCCATATTACAGAAATACTTAAACTAATAAGTGAAGTTCAAAAATATCAGGAAACTGTCTGCTTTGGAAAAATTTAGGAAATCTGAAACATTTTTAATCATTGCAGGATTATTTTCAGTAAAATGAACCATTTTGCTTTGTAGTTCTGAGATATAGGTTATATTTATTCAAATAAGATAAACATTACAAAAAGAAGATACAATGAATGCGAACAATTTTCATGAGGTTTACATTAATTGAAGAAAATGTGAATGCAAACATCAAAAAATATGTTTTCAAATACATTTAAAATATACATAAAATAGCCAAAAAAACATTTGTTAAAATATGTTTAAAATTATATGTAAATATATTTTCTAACAATACATATTTTTGCCATTTTTTAAAAATATGTTAAATATATAAAAAAAAATAAACATATTTTTTAAAAGGATAGATTTTGCCCTCTATACAGTATTTCAGCAAAAAAAAAAAAATACATCTCACATTTGAAGAAAAACTTCAACTTCAACTGTCTATAACTCGTGTATATATATCTGCATTTAGCCTAAATGTAGGCTACTTTAAGATTGGAAATGTATTTTCTTGCCCTTGAAATACATTTTGAAGTCTATTTTGGTATATGAAGGTTAAAGGGGTCATATGATGCGATTTCAAGTTGTCCTTTCTCTTTGGAGTGTTACAAGCTGATTGTGTATAGATAAGATCCCTGAAGTTGCAAAGACTAAAGTCTCAAAACCAAAGAGATATTCTTTATCAAAATTAAGACTCTGCCACGCCCCCCTAAAACGGCTCGTTCTAACACGCGGAGTCAGCTGTCTTAACTGTGGCTTGTGTACTGCAAACATATTCATCACTGTGTCTGTCACGAGACTCTGTTCCCCTTTCGGGCTCTGTCTTTACATTTATTTTGAAAGATGAAGCTTGTGATTATGGTAAGGGGCGTTACATTTCCGACGAGTGCTTGCGGTGTTCGGCCAATCACAATGCACTGGGTCAACTGGCCAATCAGAGCAGACTGCGCTTGTCGGAAGGAGGGACTTTGTAGAAAACGAAGCATTTGAGAGAGGCGGGGCATAGAGGACTTACAATAATGTACAGTATTTGAAAAATAATGTGGTTTTTGAACATTAAAGCATGTCAACATATTCTGTTACACCAAATACACAAAATAATGATCTTTTAAAAAGCATCATATGACCCCTTTAAAACTAAATTTATTTTTTTTTAATATAAAAATATATTTTATTGAGCTTCACTGTTTACAACATATATTTAAAATATATGGTTACTAGGTGGGTATTTCCTGGCGTAAGTCAAAAGAGCCCAGCGTTAATTTACTAGATATGGTTTGGATCCTTTTTCAATGTAAACAAAATTGTATGTCTGATCACTTAGAAAAATAAAAATACACTTCTCTTCCAAAAGCAACATGATTTGAGATATAATCTGTTGCATAAATGGTGTGAGACAAGTTACAACCAAAGTTTAATACTCATGGGTTATGGGTTTAGTAATAGTGAAGCTTACCTTTGCAAACCGCACATAACCAGCTAAGCATACTTGGTTCGACCTCTCTTTGAGCAGATCTATAACACACAAGTCAAATGTGATTAAACAGACCTTAACCAACACAGAATCCATTCAAGACACTGAGCAGATCCCAGATGCAGCAGAAACTAATTTAATTCAGGATGGAAAAAGAGACACAGAATAGTACAGAATGGTACAGGTTTTTTTTGGTACGACCCATTCAGATTTTGAGGAGAATCGTAGCATGTTTATCTGTTGTTTGTGTACTGCAGGGTTTCTCTCCATGTGAAAGCAGAGCTCTGTTCGCTAATGCCAATGAATCAGACCAGCTTGGCTACACTTATGGAGAAAAGGAGGCAATGGGAAACAACAATAACTTGAAGGTGGGGAGCATACCCTGTTTTTCCCTTCAGCTGGAAAATCCTCAGTTTCAAAGTGGTCTTTGTGATCTTTAGCTTAATTAGGGTCATATGTTGTGTTTCGAAAGAGGGGTGGGTGGTATGACTGAAATGGATATATGGATGCCAGTTTCTGCCTTATTTATATCTTATTTTTTTATTTTTTTTATTATTATTATTATTATTATCATTTTTTAAATGGTTTTGAAGTCTCTTATGCTCTCCAAAGCTGCAATTCTTTGAACAAAGGTACAGTAAAAACAGTTATTATGTAATATTATTACAATTTAAAAAAATCTCCTTTCTATTTGGATACAATTTAAAATGTTATTTATCCCTGTGCTTTCAAAGCTGAATTTTCAGCATCATTACTCCAGTTTTCAGTGTCACATGATCCTTCAGAAATCATTCTAATATGCTGATTTGCTGCTCAAGAAATCTGTTTTTTGCTCCATAACATTTTGCCACCATGTCCACTGATATACACACTGAAATAAAGAATACAGTACAATCTCTTTCAGTCGACACATATCTACAGTATTTGTCATACCACCTAGCCCAATTTCTAAATGATTTCTAGAATACTATTTCTTCTAGCATCCTAATACCATGTCATGTGTATGTTTGCAGATGCCAATTATTAAGGTGTCAGACGATGACAGCAAGAACTGCGACAACGAGGATCAGAGCTGCCAAGAGACGTCATGCAAGAGATCTCGCTTCAACTCCACCAGTGAGACAAACCTGCATGAACACTAGAGTCAGAGCACTATCCCAATCCATCTCTCAGTATTTGTTTACAGTATAACTCAACTGTGCTAATCCCAGTTCAAGCGCTGACCACACACATGCAACACTGCACTGAAGAAAAGCGGCCTTTTTTATTACACAACTTCATAAACTCTTGAGAATATCCAACAGGAGATGTGAACATGTTTTTGTGCTCCTGAACATAAACATATGATGTTGTACTCACATGCTGTTAACATCGTCCAACATCGAGAGCACGTCTTATGTAACTCCACATGTCTCCACATGGTTTTAGGCGTTCACCCATACTGGATTGGAGACTTGGATACCATCATTATGAAAACGCCAGAGCTGTTCCCGTGTCCCGCCCACGCCACCACAGGCTTTTACGGCAACAGGAAGTCTCTCTCTCAGCAGCTGGAATTCCCTCACAGCATTCCACAGGTGAGGGAGGGACAGCTGGTCACAGAATCTGGACTGTTTGGGTCACATTAAAGGGATAGTTCACCCAAAAATGAAAATTCGGTCATTATTGTTTACTCACCCTCAAGTTGTTCCAAACCTGTATGAGTTTCTTTCTTCTGTTGAGCACAAAAGAAGATATTCTAACCTCTTAACTGTAAAAAAGATATAGAAGTTTAAATTTACTGTAAAGAAAATGTATTGTTTTATATAAAATAAATATTTTACAAAATTAATCCTAAATTAATATAAAATTAAAGCCATGTGTCTAAATAAGTTGTGTTCCAAATTTGTTTATTTATTCACTTTTTAATGCCATACCAGCATCAAGGCTATTTTCATGGCGATCTCTGAATAAATTATACAAGGCATACAATTAACAATTGCTTTACACGAATAGCCTACTAGACACTTTTCAATCTGGGTTTAGGTCTGGACATAGGACGGAGACTGCTTTAGTTAGGGTCTCGAATGACCTTCTCGTTATAGCTGATTCTGGGGCTTGTGGAATTTTGGTTCTGTTAGATCTTAGTGCTGCATTCGATACGATATGTCATAGCATATTACTGGACAGACTACATAGATGGATTGGTCTATCTGGAACTGTGTTGAACTGGTTTAAATCTTATCTTTCAGAACATTCTCAGTTTGTTTGCCTGGGTACTAGACTGATATCTCAGACTGCGCCTTTGTGTCAGGGTGTCCCTCAGGGGTCAGTTTTGGGACCTGTTCAATTTAGTATTTACATGCTGCCTCTTGGGCAGATTATTCAGAAGTATGGCCTGGGCTATCATTGTTACACGGACGATACCCAGATTTATATTAGCACTCAGCCTGATTCCACTTCTTCCTTTTTAACTCTCTCTGCCTGTTTGCTGGAAATTAAGGCATGGATGAAACACAACTGGTTGTTTTTCCTTGTTTCAGCCTCATTTTAAATTAAAAACCATGGGGGGAGGGCTTTTTCCTATAACGCGCCTAAATTATGGAATGCATTACCTGTGTTTATTAGGAATGCTGCTTACTTGGATTGTTTTAAGAAACTTCTTAAGACGTACCTTTTTACTGAAGCTTTTAATTCATGACTATTACTATGATTTTATTTTTGATATTAGTGCTTTGAGTATTAAGAAAGGTGCATTACAAATAAAATGTATTATTAGTATTATTATAACAAAAGGTTATAAAAGACATTTCAGATGTACACAAGACAAAAATACATCCAGGTGATACATTTTTAAATAAATCAGTTAGACATACCTCTGAATAAAACAGTTGTCTATTTACATTAAAAACAGTACAATCCAATAAAATATGCTTCACAGTCATTTTAGTTTGGCAAGTCAGGCATGATGGTGGTTCTTCACCTTTTAATAAATATCCATGTGTAAATCTTGTACGACCTAAAAGACACCTTGTAAAACCAACTTTCTCATACCTAGATTTAAAATAAGTTAAAAAAAAATAAATAAATAAATTCTTAGAGTAGGATTTGTTTCATATAGCTTATTTTCATTGTTTATCTGATTCCATCTGCCACAAAGTCATTAATATAAGAGTGTATCACAGGTTTGACATCACAAAAAGGAGTTCCAAATTTGAAGTTGATATAAAACAAATTGAGGTTCCTATGCAATTTTGTTTAGACTTTATACCACAAATAGCCACCGGGTGCCATAAACTCCAATGAATTTTTTTTAAATGCATTTTTCTGTCACAAATGTATACATTTCTCTCTCAATATTATTTATATCACAAAATACCCATACATATGGAATCGTGAGACAGACCTTTCCAACGATATGTACAGTATATTGTCAATATTATAAAAAGTTTTGATTCTAAAAGACGTAATACATTTTGTAATACGACACCCCCACTAAGGGGGAGGAGCCCGCTAAAAGATTTTAAAGTACCATTTCCACGAAAAAATTTCACGAAAAATTTCAGAACTCCTGTTATGATGTATATGTTTTGAGGTGCACTATTAAATCACATAAATTAATCTATTACTGTTCCTACATCATGTTAAACAACAAACAGTGGTAAAATATCTATTTAAGGGTCTTAGACCTTTCCAACAATATATAGTTTGTCATGATTAGATTAGGATTTAATCATAAGATATTGAAGTAAACTTAGGCATCCCGGTGGCGGGATGGTGACAGTTAAGGGGTTGAAGAATGTTGCTAACTAAACAGTTGATGGTAGCCATTGACTTCCATAGTATTTTTTCCATACTATGGAAGTCAATGGCTACTGTTAACTGTTTTTCAGAATGCATTTTGTGCTGCATTGGCCAGTGGAATGGGGAAAAAACGCAAGTTCTCGAGATGCGTTTTTTAAAACTTGAACTTATTTTAATTTGAGCACTGCATTTTTAGATCACCTTGTCATGCCAAAGACGCTGCGAAAGATGCAAGCAAAACACGTCTGTCTAGTGCGTTCACATAGAAAACAATGCAAAAGTAGTGCAATGGAATGGAAAAATGCATTTTGCGTGAACAGCCTTGCGTGAAGTCTTGTAAGATTTAAGTGAGAGAAATGTAAAATCAAATATTGTCATGACTGTAAGTGAATCGCAAACTGAATTTGTTTTGTATCCTAGCTAGGATTTTCCTTGTTATTTTAAAATAAAAGTCTGGTACAAATAAACATACTTAATGTTTATAATATAAAGCTCTCTTCCATGTCTGCTCACACCATTTATTGAAACTAAGCTGCAAAAATTGGCCATTCTGAAATTGTCATGGTCTATCACTATAACGTGTAGCCCACTGTTATTTTAGTATTATTAATAGGCCTATAGCTACTATTATTCTAATATACTAATATTTTAAATTAGCTTTTACTTATATAATTTTAGTTTTCATTGTAATTTTGAATTTAAGGTTTAGTAATTTTTTTAGTAAAGTGTTTTTGTCATTTTTATTAGCCTTTTTTTGTTTTAGTTATTGTAATTTTAGTACTTCAACACAAATGCATTTTATTTCCAAAGTTATGTGCGAAATTAAATTTTTTTTGTTTGTTTACATATTCACATTTTATTTTATTTCATTATTTCAGCTATATATATATATATATATATATATATATAGCTGTAAATATAAGTATATAAGTATAAAATTAAAATAACTGCATTTTATGATTACATTTAGTTTTTCAAATTTTAAATGATTAAATGATTAATTTTTACAGATCACAGATATACCATAGGTTGCAAAATCTAATTTTATTGCACAGTATAGAACAAATAATGCAAGTCAATTAATTGTTCAAACAAGCTTTAAAAATGTGCTTATCACTATTTGTCTAGCATAATTCCCCATCTTGTAGGCCGATGGTGAGTGTGAAGTTATGGAGGATGCAATCTGACTTTACTGCGAAAAGAATGACAATGAGTTTTATTATATCAAAGTGCCTGATTATGCTTGTGGATGGTTAGTGAATAAGTCATGGGTGTTTACACTGAAATAAATCAATGGTGCAGCTGTTTAGTTTCTAAGTTCAGAACGTGTTTTGCCTGAACAGTTCTGAATGAGAGAATGGCAGTGACTGGCTGTTGCACTTTATTTGATAAGGCCATCATTATACTGGTAATCAAATAAATGGCTGTTGCAGTAAGTGCTCAAAGCATCTCTCCTTCTCTAGAAGTGCTCTCTACAAAGTGCTTTCCCTCTCCACATCAGCGGAGTGGCTGTTTTTAATGAATGTCATGGGAATGGCACATGTAACTTCTCTGGGTAGCAGAATTTCATGAAATGAAAACATCTCATATTGTCCTTTTTGACCCTGAACGTAGGCCTTTGACCTGCTTACCACATTATTTGTGCTCTTTTTGGTCTCTGCAGGCTGTGGTTAGACCGTCTCGCTCTCTAAGTTCAGCACACTTGGTCCCGTCCTGCAGCACTGTGCAGGCCTTCATCATCTCCAACATTGTCCTCATGAAGGGCCATGGAAAGGTATCCAAATGTGTATCTGCAACAAATAATACAACGCACTGAATTCTCAACATATAAACCGCTGTCCTGGTATTCCAGGGCCTGGGATTCAGTATAGTAGGAGGAAGAGACAGCATGTACGGCCCAATGGGGATTTACGTGAAGACCATCTTTCCTGGAGGCGCAGCGGCCGCTGATGGAAGACTACAGGAAGGTAGGCTCATTAGTTAAATATCACACTGTAATTGGTAATGCATCCAGATCTATCCAGACACTTACTTCAAAATGAAGCTTTCCCATCAACACTCACAGCTGCATTACCCAGAAATGGATAGAAAACTATATTAGTGTTTCTGGTTTACAGGAGACGAGATACTGGAACTGAATGGCGAATCTCTGCATGGCCTGACCCATGAAGATGCCTTACACAAGTTTAAAGTGAGTAACCTCACCTGGATGGCTTCATGTTTCAAAGTTGACCTGCAATTAATGAACTGGCACACGTAATGAAGAAACACATAATGCATATTGGTAGACTGATTGGGTTGTTTAAGGGCTCATTGCTAACAGTAACTAAATTAAAACGTCACAGTAATGTGGTTAACTGGAAGTGGAAAATATATGTCACCTTATATTTATTTAAAAAAATTAAAATACAATATGTATATATTTTTTTCATGTAATATGTATATTTTATTTCAGCATTATATCAATTAATAATTTTAAAAAACATTTGATTATTTTTCAATAACAACACTGGTATGTTCAAAATTATATATCACGGCTTAAGTAATTTTGACCACAGTAGTGTATATACCACACAATATACTTATTTTTGCTGTAAATATAAATTTAAACATATAGAATTAAAATAATTACATTTAAGGATACAATTTTTAT